TGAATGCTTATCTTTTCACTTTTCATGATGTTAGGAAAATTTTCTTCATGAAGCTCTTCAACTATCTATTCGGTGTACTTATGTGATTGTTCGTGTTCTGGAATGCCAGTAATTCTTATGTTATTCCTCTTCATGTTATCCAATATGAATCTTAGGCCTTCTTCAGATTTTTTTTATCCTTTTTTGTGTTTGCTCTTCTATCATAGTGGTGTTGAGAGATTTATCTTCTAGCTCACTAGTTCTGGCTTCTATTTCTTCAAAAAGGCTGTTTTTTAGCTATAATAAAATAAAATTTTATAACTTATATATCACCTATACTTCTTCTTTTGTGTTCTGTATTTGCAAAGGGATTTTTAAAAAGTAGTTCATGAAGTATGTAGGAGTGTAGCATATAACCTAGAGGCTATACTCATAAAATTCACAAGGAAGCTTTAAGGCAAGATTGTAAATAGATATATATGAAAGAATTCTCATTTAGTTATAAATACATCTTAATGTGTGTATAGGCAGATACCTAAGCCTATATACATAAAACAATAATTTAATGTTGTCTCTGTAGTAAACTGTTAGAAAATAATTATTTCACAGATATTTCTTAAAGGATGAATATTTTATCCCCTTTAAGAAATAATGCTGAACTAGGCATATTCAGCTATTGTTAATCCAGTGTAATCAGTTTTCTACTGATATTCTCAGTGGTCATTAAGGTATGTACACTCCCTTACCAAGAGGCCTGATGCTGCTATGCTTTTTTTTGTTTTGTTTGAAAGCTTTTATCATGAATTGAGTGAGTGACAGTTTACAGGGCAGCTCATCAGTTTTACAGTCAGCAAATCACTGCAATGATTACAACCCCCTCTATGCATCATCAGCTAACAGTATCTACCTCTATTAATTTTTTTTTTATATACACATACCACATTGAAAATATATATTTGTTTAGATGTCCAAAGGGCACATTTTGCACACCAGTCTCCTATAGTCCTCTGCTACTCTGTCTGTCTGTCTCTGCCACCATCTTTGCTGTCGCTGCTTTTCTGGTCAGGATCCCTTGCTCCTCTCATGTTCTTCCCTCTTGATGGTCGTAAGGTCCTCTGTTCTGAAATGCCAGGTTAACTGCTTCCCACTTTTAGTTATACTTCTTTTACATTTACACTTGTGATCATTGCCATTAGTCCTGATAACAGTTACTCACAATTGAATCATAAAATCTTATCCCCATTATCACCAGATGTATCTGGACAAGAGGAAAACTGTTCAGTGGGGATTTTACCTTACACCCTCCCCCTTGTTTTGACATTAAGCACCCTTATGAAAGCCAGCCACTTTGCACCTGTATAATCCCCCGATTTTGATAGCCAAAGTCTAAGTTGCCTGTCTGCTGCTATACTTGTTAAGTGCATGTCAGCTTTCAATAGTTTATTGCCACCCTCTCAGCAAATCTGAATGTTGCATTATCTCTGTCTCTCCAGCCATTCCTACCTCCTGCTCAGCATGCACCTACTGCCACTATTTTGCATTTCCTATTGCTTTCTTAATGAATGCTTCTGGTTTCCTTATTCTGGGAAACAGAAGTCAAGGTATTTATAACTATGTCTAAAATTAAAGAAGGTTACTCTGTAAAAAAAACTTAGTAAGTTTTATTGTATAATCTCCCTGACATTTATCTTGGTTACATAATACCTTACTTTCTTCTGTCTTCTTTTGCTATATTCATAGCAGTTGAATTTGACTGGCAGAATCTCCAGATAAATCGAGTGCTGTTCTACATTCAGTATTTAATTGGCAGGTGACCCTATCCACAATTTGAAGGCTTCCCTTCTCCCATATCCCCCAAATCTGAGAATATTATTGAAAATTAAGACCCCCAAAACATATTTTAAAACTTTAAGAAATAAAATAATAGAATTAATCCCTCCTGTCATAAAGATAAATCAAAATGATATTTAGCAGATACCCAAGAACAAAGAGGAGTCTCAAAATGAAAGATTAACATCAGAGGGGAAAAAAAGTCAATTCTCAGGGAACTTTTCAAATTATAATAAATATTTTGAAAGAATGATAAACAGAAAAATTGATGTTAAATAGAACATTCCCTATTTATAACTATGATGTAATTTTAACTGATTCAGTCTTATTTCACAGAGATATAAAATGAAAATAACATTTCTTATACACCATTGTGTAGTTCAGTCTTTTCACTGTTTTACAATCCTACACTTTCCAGCTTTCACCTGTTTTATCC